GGAATGCCCGATTTCCAAAAGGAGCCGTCTTATCTCCACCTGATTGCTGAAAGTTCTACGACGAACATGCGCAGCGCTGAGGCGAGCGCCACATTTGAATATGACCCGCTTTTCAACTGTGTCCGTTGGAAGGTCTCAAACGTATGAGAGCGCATTTTTGAAAACGAAACAGAATTGTTGGAAGCTTCAAACCGAAGGTGCGCTACCTTAACGCGAGAGCCGCGGGAGCACCACCCGCTTTCCATCCCTGTGGCCATTGGGAACTTTTTCCAGAAAGGGCGCAGGCCCAGAGTTTTCTTTTAGTAGGTAAACGGTCCCCAGTGCCAAGCTTGAAGAGGGTCGGCGGATTTATTTACAATAAATAACGAAGTCGAAGAGGACTGGCGGATTAACTTTCGAGGATGTTTGGAATTCCGATCGATCAAACACATGGTGAAGTGAACATTTTTGGTTGTTGCGGATGTCTCGAACGAGCCGCTTGTTTTGTCTTGTAGATTGCTTTTCCCCATGTTGTCAGAATTCGGAGCTTGCCTCAGGCAACATGCTTGTTTTCACGTGCCGAGGCAACCCAGGAGGAACATGGTGGTCCCGAGCTGGGACCGCGTGTCATCACTTGTCCAGGTCACCCAGGGGGGTCTCTAAGATGGTGGTCCCGAGCTTGAACCATGCGCTTTTACTTGTCCAGGCCACCCAGTGGAGTATTTCACCTGGTGGCCCCGAGCTGGATTCACTTGTTTTTGCATGTCCAGGCCACCCAGAGGGTATCTAACATGATTGGCCACCCACCTGGGGTACAGTCGGGGCCCTGAAGAAGGAACCCTTTTCGTTGGGGAGGGGCTCCGCGTTCCTTAAGTGTTTCACAGCTTGCCTCAGGTTTTCCGTATGTTTTCGATCGGAAATCGAAGTTCAACTTATGGAAAAGAAAAAAAGGGCCTCATTCCTTATTTAGGGTTCCTTAGGTCAACGCCCCGACATCATTGGCCACCCACCTGGGGTATCTGACCTGTGCTGGATCGCCCCCCGCGTGGGGGCCCACAGGAGCCAGGCAAAAATCGACACGTCTGCAAGAGCGTGCTCTGCCGCTGCTGGCAGTAAACTGGGGGGGTCACGGGGGGTTTCCAACCCGTCCACCCCCTCCCCTCGAAAACCGAAAGGGTCACTGGGGGTTCCACCCCCTCCCTGGTCGATCCATCAGGAAAAAGGGGGGGCTCAAAAAGGGGGGGGTCACTACTGGTTCGAGCCCCCCCCCCCTCCCTCCCCTCCCTCGCCGCTGGCAAACGACTCCCCCTCCTCCCCCACTCCGGACACTCAGACAGCGGTGGGGACAGTGGGGACGGTATCTAACATGGTGGCCCCGAGCTGGAACCACGTGTTTGAATGTGTCCAGGGCACCCATGGAGATATCAAACATGGTGATTCCGAGCTGAAGCCACGTGTTTTCACATGTCCAGGCCACCCAGGGCGGTCTCCAACATGGTGGTCCTGAGCTGGAACACACGTTATTACGTATCCAGGCCGCCCAGGGGAGGGGGGATATCTAAGATGGTCGTTTCTTGCCCCGCACTGGAACCATGCGTTTTCATATGTCCAGGCCACCAAGAGTGATGTCTAACATCGTGGCTCCAAGCTGAAGCCACGTGTTCTCACGTGTCCAGGCCACCCAGAGGGGCATCTAAACATGGTGACCCCGAGCTGGAGCCAAGTGTTTCCACGTGCCCAGACCACCACGAGGGGTATCTAACGTGGTGACCCCGAGCTGGAACCAGGTGTTTCCACGTGCCCAGGCCACCACGAGGGGCATCTAAACGTGACTGCCCCGAGCTGGAGCCACACGTTTTTTTTTTTTCCGTGTGCGGGCCACCCGAGGGGGGGCATCCAGACTGTGGTCGTCTTGGGCGCCCCCAGCGTGGGGGGGCCCACGAGAGCCAGACAACGGCAAGCAATCTGCGCAAGGTGTGGAGCAACTCAGGAGGAAAAAGAAACACACAGACACAATCCATCGTCGATTCCCAGGAAGATATGGGAACATATGGGAAGTGGGGGGGAAGACAGAAACCCAGAACATATGGGAAAATATGCGGCATATTTTTATTTGTGTTTATTTATTTGTGTGTCCTAGGGCCCCTGGAGTAACCTGACACAGTTTCTTCGGCCGGTGATTTTCCAGATTTCCCAGCGTGGGTATCTGGAATAGTGGTCCCGAGCTGGAACGTGGATGTCTCACAGGGTGGTCCCGAGCTGGACCCACGTGTTTTTGCATGTCCAGGCCATCCAGGGCGGTATCCAAAATGGTTGCCCCGAGCTGGAAGCTCGTGTTTTCACGACCATCTATTCGATGTCCGTCCCTGGGTGGCTTGGACACGTGAAAACACGTGGGTTCCTGACGCCCCAGAGCGGGACGGCGTATGCCCCTCCATCCTCGACGCGTCCCCTGGCTCGGCCTCGCGTTCCTTGGCTTGTTCCCTGGCGCTTTCCCTGCCCCTTCCGTGGCGCGTCCCCT